GTGGCAAATTGCTGTTTAACTCATGTAACATCTATTTACAGTCTGGATTTCTGCATGCTGGTTACTCGTATGTTCATGGCAATCATGAACACTTTCTTCAATCTGACAGCCCAGCTCTAGTCAACATAAACAACTGCTTACTATACCACCACCAAGAATTTCTCCCAGTTCATATCAGATACTAACTTTCTGCACTTTGAAATATGGTACATAATTCAAATGGAAAATCAAAAGGATTAATCTGAGCAAGAGTCACTTCTGGAGAATGCATGTTCCACCATTAGCTCCGACATTATGCTAGCAGTTTGCAAGCAGCAAATATAGCTGCTATTGTTAGCATTACCTGGCACCAAAACAATCCTACGGAATACATCACTTTCCTTCCAGACCATAATATATTTTGCTTCCCTTTTTGCTTTCAGCTGACTTGAGTGCATGCTCAACTCTTAAGAAGTTAATATAAACAACAGCTATGTAAATATATCTAAGGAAATTTGATACCTGTAGGCACTATTCTTTCCCAGTCAAATCTGTCCATTTCTTACTTTTTTTTTTTTTTTTTTAAACAGCCAGGCTCAAGTTGTTATTACTGTAAGTTTGAGCTTTCCATCTTCTAGTTACTGAAAACTGCTAGTTTAGATCTTCTAAAAACGAAGCATTCAAAAAGGCATCTTACCAGCTTTTCCCATCGTACTTTCCTCTGTAAACGATCTTTGAGAGAAACTAGATGTCTGACTTAGTTCTTGTTAACCAGGTCATGTTACGGTCTTACTAGTGGATCAACAGCTACAGCTGTTGTATTACTTGATGTTGTTCAGAAATAGTTATCTCCCCCTTCTTTCCTCTCGAGAATCTCCTTCACTCCCCAGTGTGTATGTTAGAAACAAACAAGTGAATGCGACCATGTAATCAGCTGCTGAACTTACCTTCTGCCTGTTACACTCAAGTACTCCATGATATACTGCAAGCACAAGTGGCATTATTTATTGTAGTCCTCAGGAAAAGAATAGCTTTGGAAACACAGGTGACAGCAGGCCCAAGCACTGGCAATCATCCAAACACTGCTTCATCTTCACTTTCACATTCATTTCCCTAAACATTAGTATTTAGATGAAGGAAATGAATCATTTCTCTTGATTACAAGCCACCATATTTGCTTTAAGCTTCCTGTGGTGGAATTAAAACATGGGATTATACAACACTGAGGAAGATGTGACAGACTCTTCTACAGAAGTTTGATTAAAACTAATAGCTCTTTGAAAGTACTCAAGATGTAAAAGGACATGCCAATAGGTAAAAGTTTAAGAACGCTAGCCTTAAGTTCATAGGTGGGGTTTGGGAGAGGCTACCCCTCCCACCCCTCCTTTGGAAAAGCAAGGTGAACTCGCAGGAAGAGAATTACTGGTAAATGAACTGCCTTCAGTTCCTGCATAAGGTTTCCTCAGTTTCCTTTAACCATTCATCCCATTGTAAATTGGCCACCAAACCAGAAAGTAAGGAGTTGTAATCCACCCACTTTCCCAAATAGAGCTCCACAAAGTTATCACAGTGAAAAAAAGCAGCAATAAGATAGTCCATCACAGACACACATCCAAAGGGACCCTATCCGAGACAGCTTTTTTGGTTTGTTTGAAGTCATTCTACAACTTCATGGGAACCTTAATTTAGCCATTTTCCATATGGCCCTGGAAATTTATCATTGCAGGATCACAGCCTTCTCTTTATCATTGCAGACTATCTCATGTTTCACCTGTTTTGTTACACAGAACTATTTATATTGCTGCATAAACATTTCTCCCATTATCTTCATTTGTATAAATTTTTTACATTGGACTAATCTCTGGCTGTGTTAACAGAAGTATGACACTAAGCCTTACTTATTCAAGGAGAAATATTCCTAAAATGGATTGCTAATTGTAAGGAACTGATAATAAGCATTTTTATTTTTTTCAGAAAGTGTTCTGAGAAAGTTTTTTATAGTATTGATAGAATCAGTAAGTGGATCATAATATAAACAAACTGTTTAATTGCAGTTTTAGAACTAAATTATTAATAGTTTCTGTGCCTCAAACCCACTGACAACCCAAAGTTCCTCTCTTTATCTGAGAAGAGAGGCTTGCTCAATGCTACTACAGAAGATTATTTATTTGTATAGCACTTTCTTTAGTGAAGAAATAACACTGATTGACCTCATGTGGAGTTATATGTGCGATAAATAATATTTTTATACAAGAACATTCTCCCCTACTTAAAAAAAAAAAAAAAAAGAGTCTCATTCATTCTGAACAGTCCTCTTGCATTAAAACCAACACCTGAGAAGAAACTACAGCACTGGAAGAACCCTTTGAGGGAGCCATACACTAAAAAAAATAAAAAATAAACCTTCTCTAACACTTTTATCTCACTTCTTTCAAAAGAGGTCTGCACATATATTTTTCCTCAGTAACACTGGGGATCAGCCAATGGATTCAACTAAATTTGGTAGCTCTAAGCCACAAAAGACGACAATCCCACAAGTTTTGTTAAGCCAGTCAACTGAGGAGAAAAGAAGTCAAAGTTCAAGTACTTACGCTTTCTCACCTAATCACTTGCAATGTCATCAGCCAATTTCTGCAGCAGAGCCTGGCAGCTTGCATGTTGCTGCCATAACAGTCTGTAGCAGAAAATACAGCTATCATGCAGGAAATATCACAAAAAGAATTGCATATAATTCAGTTAAATAGCCAACCAGAAGACCTCATCCAGACTCAATTAGATCTGCTAATCATAGTGCTAGTTTTAATTCTCATTATTAATGCCAGATGCCCTATGGTTTTATGGCCAGATGTCCTATGATATAAATAAAGAACTGTTACAACATTGAAACTGAAATAACAGAACCTCAGAAGCCAAGAAACAGCAAAAGCGGGTCCTCCCCTTGCATACCTCGCTTGAAATAGAGGAAAATAAGGGGGAATTGCGAGTCTCTTGATGTGAGAGTACATCTCCTGACTCCTGTATGCAGGAAACAGAAGGACCCTCTGAGGGACCCTTCAGAGATCACCCTCATTTTTAATTTTGTACATCCAATAGCAGGCTGTAGAGACCGTAACCTGAACTAAGCATGTCACAGGGTGAGCCAGAGACAAGCTCTCTGCCCCCTTACTGCTTGGCAGGTAGGGGAGAGGGACAAAACCCGTGCCACAGAATAACGTAGCCTCTGGTGGGGTCCTTTCTTAAGTAGAGATCCTTTTTAAAGGAATGTGCCTGGGTTTTAGGGAAATAGCGTGGCTTGTTCAAATGCAATGAAGGCCACGATTTCCAACAGATATCCCAATAAGCTCACAGCCGAAACTTCCTCCGACCCCCAAAGATCTGACAAAGAAGGAAGAATTACAAAGACTGAATGGACAATATGCTAGTAGAGAGCAGTGTGTCTCCCTGCTAAGAACAGGGAGGTCTTCCAACTTAGCTCTCTCAGTTTTTATCCCTTTTAGAAATATTCTTGTTTCACTGGGGCAATATTGCATAAGGTAAGTGGGGGAAAAAAAATTAGGCTGAGCATTTGAAACAAAACAATTCTTTATAGAAAAGCTGTATGTTTGCTTGTTTATATTGAAGATGTTTGCTATCATTTCACAGACTGTTTTGGTGTCTAATGGTCTGTACAGGTTTGCAGACCACTAGCAGTCTAGAGCTAAGAAATGCCACTTAACTAAAAAAAGAGAAGGAACCTTCCTTAGATGTCTCTTTTGAGGTCCCCTCCCCAATAGGGGGTCTGGTTTATAGTCTTACTTTGTACAGATAGTTCTACTGTGTGCAAGTGTATGATCCTGTAAATTCAAGAAATCCTAGTTCTCCTGAATATGGGCTTTGATTTAGACATCAGAGTAAGTCCTTACTAAGTTAATCCAACAAAAAGGCTGCAATAGAAGATTTGAAGTTGATAACATTCTCAGTTCTGACTACATCATTTGTACACCATATATAATGGAGAAAGCATAACTTAAAGGATCTCCCACCCCCACTGTCAATTCCTACAGACAAGGCAATCAAACCTAGGTCACACATGCGAGTCATGCTTTTACAAGATGGGGGGAGTGGGAGGGAACAGACAAAACAGAACTTATTTGGCCTAGAACTCTGTATTTGGCCAGAACGTTCCTGAGCACTTCGGAAGAGTTGTTTAAACCAACTAAACTAAAAGAAAAAAAAAAAAGCCTTTTTTTTTCCCCTGAATCAAACTACCCCAGTGAGTTCCATCAAATGAGGCTTACCTAACACTACTATTTATTGACTCTGCATTGTCCTCACACAGAGGCATTTGACCAAATTTGCTTCCAGCATCACCAGCTTAAATGTAATCATTCCAGTTCTAATTTACTTTAAAGTAAGGTTGGGGGGGGGGGGGGGGGAAAAAAAGCTTCTCAAAAGAGTCAGTTCATCATTATGTGCAATTTCTCCACAAGTATTTACTACTACTATTAGCAAGAATATTTTCTGTGGATTTTCTAACTGTCTTAAAAATAGAGCTTGTGAGTCTTACTCTGTAGGATTGTTTAAAACCTTCATAGGCAGCATTAGTTTAAGAAGCCCAAACAGACTGTGACTAGATGACTGAAGATCTCACAAAATCTCTTTACTTCCCTCTAAGTTTAAGGTGAAAGAGAAGCCTTAACCCAGAAGGAAAAAAAATCACCAATAAACACACAAACAAACAAAACCCCACTATTTCTATGGATCATTAATATCTCACTTAACAGGTGGTCACTGAAAAGCAATCCAAATCTTGTTTACCTCCTCACTACTCTTGACGATGCTGACTTACTAAAACCAATTTACAAGATTTTTTCCAGCTAAAATATGCAGCAGTTCTCTACACTTACTCCACAATCTAATGCTCATGTTCTTCAGGTATCAACCACTTCTTCCAGTTCCTCATTAGTTTTTGCCCATTCCCACTGCTTCCACAAAGAGCCTGTTGGACCTCAGTCGCGTATAAGAGATTCCTCAGCCCATACCTGCAACTTGGATGCCAATATTAATCATATTCTTGCTGTGAATATATCGCAGGAGCAGCAGCGGACTCCTCAACGCCCTCTCTACGTGGATTTTCTCTGACTCACGTAAACAATCAGCATCTGCACACCCACCTACAGTCCTTATCTTCACACTGCAATTTCAGCAGCACCTTGCTAGTAAATCGAGTTGTCCCCATCTAGTGTTTCTTGGGATTAGGGACAGGAAGAGGAAAAAATGGGAGACTGCTAACAATTTAGGAACCACTTTGATCCACTGCATTGCTTCCAGACCACCCTCTATCATCTCCACACTGGTCAAAAGAAGTCAGCATTGTCAATAGACACACCTGACCAGATAGCTGAGCAGCCTGAACACAGTGAAATCTGTCACCAAAAGCACAGCAGCCTTAATCTAGTCAGATGTACCCACACAATTAACAACAAATAAACAAAGAGATCAAAAGAACATCACTTCTTTTGATTTCTGCTATGAAGCAGAAAAAGTCTACACTGGTCACCCATCTAACAAACCAACACTTCCTCAGAGAGGTGAAGAGAAAAAAATAGAGAAAAACCAAACCACAGAACTAACGGAATAGATATGTCACTTCCAGTCTCTCCTCTCAGGACTCATTCCTTCTCTGCAGCCAAGGTGTTTCCACACACATAAGTTTCTGCTCGGTGAGGAGGAATAAAAATTAAACTGTAAAAGTACCCAGCATCAGGACCTTCCCACACCCCCAATAAATAGAAGGAACCCTTCCCAGTCTGGTCCCAATTAGTCACTGCTCATTAAAATGAACTATGTAGTACAGTCTTGCTAAAGGATCATTTCCACATACAGCGTCTTTCCTAAAATACCAGCAAGACATGAGAAGCATCCAATATACAACAACAGGAGCACAGGAAAGCATGATTGGCAAGTGACGGTCCTAACACACCACTGCCATCAGTAACACTGTATGTTAATTCACTGCTTCTTCACAGCTACGTGACTCCATGGTATTTTTCCCCTCCTTATTTTCATGTGCTTTCTGAGAGGCCAGCTTGTGCCAATTTATTTTAACATCTCCTTTTTTATTTTTTCCTCCTGTTTGTTTGCTTTTTTTTTTTAAAAAGAGTGAGACAACAAGATTATAAAAATACTAGAAACATGAGTCTGTCCTAGAGCTGCACTGTCCAACGCGGGCAACAGAAAACACGCGCCTGTCACTTGCTTCTTTCCGTTGTGAAATCCGCGACGAAACGCAAGGCGCATCCCCAAAGTTCCCATCACCGCGGAAAGCCACGAGCTTGCCCTGAAGCAGGCCGCGCTTGAGCAGGTTACATCCGTGCGGAAAACAAAAGACACATGGGAACAGCCAGCGCGGGCCGCCCCGAGGGGAGCGCGTGCTTCTACTCCGCTGCCGGAGGCGCGGG